GGCTTCCAGGTCCGAGCGTCCCGCGTTCACGCCTGCTCGGGCCAGAGGTCCTCAGACGCTCGCAGCAGTGCCTCATGCCGCCGTGGCAGCCTCGTAAATGCCAGCGCGTGTGTCGGGCCTCACGGGCCTCAGCAAAACAGCGAGCGTTTTCTCGTCGGTCAGAGGGCGCCCGTGGACACAAGAGACGCGCCACAGGACAGAAAGCCGTCGTGTGCGAGTCATCAGCTGCTCGTGTTGTAAAACGGGCCATCCTGCGTGGATGGAAACAGACGTGGACCGCGACTTGGGGAAGCAGCGGGGTCAGACCTGCTGAGAATGAGGGTCGCACAGTTTCAAGGGCCCTTCTTCGGCTTGTATGTCCTCGTCCTCGGGAGAAGCCACTCCTCAGAGACGGCACCTAACCCTCAGACACCTGGGAGCAGAGCCTGTGCTTCCCAACAGCATGAGAGTGAGGACCGAGGAGGCAGAGAAAGGCCAGACCTGCACCCGGGTTCCGCCCGCCCTCATGGCCCTGGTCCACACAGCAGGTGCCTGAGAGTCGGAGTAGGACGGTGGCAGTCACCTGGCGGCAGTGGAGTGAGCTCGCAGGGTCCACGTGTCGGTTCCTTTCCTCCTCACAGATGGCGTGTTTGAGTCACGGGCCCCTTCAGACACTACGGCAGGACCACTGTGACTCCGGGACAGAGTAGGGCCGGGCCTTGTCGTGTAACAGCTCTCGTTTGCAAGGCCTTGACCCCAGCGGAGCTCCGCCTCTCCCACTGTCTCCTGTGTCCTGCGCCTCTGCTCAAGGACGGCCCAGGAGCCCTGGTGAGGAGGGCCGACTTCTGTGGCCCCCAGGGCCGGAGGCCACAGGCACTGACCCGGAGCTCTGACCTTTCCTCTCTGCTGAGCTTCAAAACAGCCGGCAGCAGAGCCGAAGGTTGCTTTTGCCAACCCAGAGGGTAGTGTCTTGCCCTGACTTGTCCAAAGTGTTCTCGTGACTTGGAAGGAGACCAGAGGGTGCCACCAGGTGACCCCACGACAGAGGCCTGCAGTGACTCAGCACCTGCCACACCAGGCATTGGGCAGGGTTTCATCCCAGAAAGTCCTTTGAAATGGACTTGTCCGCTTATAGTTTAAAAACTCTCTCTCTCTGGTGAGTGCATGTGTCCTATGGCCAAAAGAAACTTTAAAAAAAAAAAAAAAAAAGGCAGAAAGCAGACTTCGCGCCAGGCCCTGTGTGGTCAGGCCCGCTCACGGCCCGTCGGGGTGGGTGTGAATGGCGTGTTGGTCTGGGGCTCCGGGCGCCTTGCACCTCAGTTCCTCAACCCCAGCCACTGTGTGTCAGCACGAGGGCTCCTGGCTCATGGCGACACTGTCAGAGGGGGACAGGTGAGCCCGCGTGGGCCCGAGCACCCCAGCGCCTTTGGGAAGGACTCTGTGCTGCCGGACTCACCCGCACTCGGGCCCAGGCTACACCGTCCTGTGCTAGGGTCAGAGGTTACTCTGCTTCTGGAAAGCACACAGGAGCCCTTTGGCTGAATTTTGGCTCCTCTGAAAGCCTCTCGTCCCAGCGAGCCAGTTCTCCATGGGTTAGAGGGTCTAGTCGTCATGTCCTCGCGGGGACTCGATCGGATGAAGGTGGCCTCCGTCAGTGCGTTATTTGTAAAGTCACACCGACATGGCGGTGGTATTCTATTTATTCACATTTCAGGAGAGACTAGTAGGAACAGGGAGGAGGGTCTCCTGACCGTGGCCAGGGCAGGGCATGCACCAGCTCCTGGACGTTCAGCCGAAGGCATCTTAGACTGGGACCTTCAGAGGGACCACACACCTGCTCCCACATGCCCACTCTGCTCGCTGTCCACTGGTGTCCGGAGACACAAGAGCTAAGGATGGAGTCAGCAGGGGAGGCTACTGAGACGGCGCGGGCTGGCCCTGCCCTGCCCCTGGCTCTGCCTCTGGCTCTGCCCTTGGCCTTGGCCCTGCCCCTGCCCCTGCCCCTCCCCCTCCAGGGGGGCAGCCGGTGGCAGACCCAGTGCTGGGGAGCCTGTGCCAGAAGGCAGCTCTTCAAACACGGCCCTCTGGCATGGGTGGCACCAGGTCTCACCCCTTCAGCCCGTCAGAGATGGTCGCTGGGAGAGGTGGGGTCTCGTTACCGATGCTGGTCACTGCTGGGCCAGGAGGCAAAGAAAGCGGATCCTCCTAGGTGTGTCTGGTCAGCTCCTTCAGCTCTTGGGAAGTCCAGTTTAAGGAGGTTTTGTTTCTTGAGTAGTAATAAAATAGGCATGCCAGAATCACTCATATACTGGTTTGGCAGACGAAGTGGGTGGCGTGCTGAGAAAAGCCACCATTTCCTATCACCTTGTTGGGTTCTGTGTCGCTGCCCTGTCCTCACCTGTCTGGAAGGCGACCCTGGAGAACCACTGCCCCGGCAGGGAGCTGTGGTCAGGCCTTGGGCAGTGCAGGCTTCCCACCGGCCTGGGCCTCGGCCATCCCTGGCGTCTCAGTGCCAGGTCCCCCACACTAGCACTGAGAGAGCCCTGGTTCTCAGCACACCCGCCCGCGTCCCTGCAACCGCCCTGGCACCCCACCACGGCTCGACTGGTGCCGTTAGTGGCGACGCTCACAGGAAAGGGTTTCAGAGGAATCTGGACAGAGGCAAGTGCACTTTGCTGACCTTTTCAAAACTAGGCTGAGCCACTTTCACTTTCGGTGACCGCGCAGACCGGCCCTTGTGCCGTTCACAGAAAGCCAGCTGCTGGGCAGGAGGGCAGCGCGGCTCCTCGGAGCCTCTCCTCCCGAGGGCGTCTCTGGCAGCGCCCGCTACCCCTTCCCTGAAACGCACTGTGTGGGCCCGGAGCCTGCTCACAGCAGCCCTGATCTGAGTGCTTAAAGAATGAGTGAGCAATGTGCAGCGTGCCACGAAGACGGGGAGTGACAGCCCACATCACGTGGCTGAAGAGAATTCTAATTTCTGAAGAGGTGTGACTGGAATGTTTGCTCTTTTTAAAAGAATTATTTCTAACGTGTGAGAAAAGAGAGAGATGCAACACTCCCTGCGGCCCTCATGGCTGCACTCCACAGCCAGCCTCAGCCAGCTCCCAGTCGTGGGCAGCGTGAACCTGGTGTGCCCAGAGAAGTCTCGGGACTTGAACCAGAAACCTTTCCACAATGGAGTACCTTGCAGAGTGTCCTGTTTTACCACCGCACCAGGATTTTTTTATAATTATTTAATTTTATTTATTCATTCATTTATTTTTAATTTGACAGAGAGACAGACAGAGAGAGAGAGAGACAGAGAGGGGAGGTAAGAAAGCAAGCCACCAGGTCTGAGACTTGAACCATGGTTAGCCATGTGGGAGTGTCA